GTCTCTGTGCTTGTTGCTTAGGGAAGCACTCCTGACAGGGCTCGAGGAGCTGTATGGGTTAACGGGGATCGAACCCATGTGGGCTGCATGCAAGGCAAGCACTCTACCTGCTGCGTTCTCTCTCCAGCTCGTGTTTACTCTATTTTACACTCACCCCTTTTTTTGTTGCTCACCCACCCATCCCTGACTGCAGTGTGCCCGGAAGTCATTTGTACAGGAACATTACTAACCGCTGTCTGGACTGTACTCAGTGCATGAGGGACACTAGGGATTTGAACCTGTGACCATAGAGTTGCATGGCAGGTTCTCTAGCCACTGTTCATTCTATTCCTCAGTCTTTTTCTTTTTTGCCACACCCAGCAGTGCTCAGACTTTACTCCTCATTCTGCACTCAGGGATCACTCGTGGTGGGGCTTCTATTTCTGGGGGTAGAACCTAGGTCAGCACATGCGAGGCAAGCACTGTACCACACTGTACTCTCTCCAGCCCCCTCATCTTTATTCTTGCCCCCAGGTCTCCCATGAATTTGCACTGAACTTCAACCCCAGTAGCCCCTACTGTGCAGGTAAGTCCCCCGTTCCTCTACAGACAGCCTGCTTATTACCTAGAGCACTGGGCAGACAAATGGAAATGGAAAAGGACAGATACTGGACTCTTATCCAAAGGAGCCTCTTCCTTTTGGTCGATCCCATACCACCATCACCAGGGCGATGCGCAGGAATGATGCAGAGGGTTCTAGTGGCTTCGGGTGCATTTGGGAGGCATTTTCTGTTTGCTTTAAAATGGCCAGAGCACTAGCACAGCAGGTAGGGAGGTTGCCTTGCTCATGACTAATCTGGGTTTGATCCCTGGCGTCCCATATTGTCCCCAGAGCACCACTAGGACTGATTGCGGAGTGCAGAGACAGAATTAAGCTCTGAGAACTCCTGGACATGCCCCTCAGAAAACCAAATATATAAAGGTAGATTTTCAGGGCATCCCACTGAGTTGTTGGTTTTTGTTGTGTGTGTGTATATATATATATATATATATATATATTTTTTTTTTTTTTCCTGAAAAGTGTGTAATGGGACAACTTAACATTTGAGAACCTCTGATCCAGAAAATGGGTCTGGGAATTAGATCCCTGGATTGAGCTATTGTGTTGTTTTGGTACCACACTCAGAGTTGCTCAGGGGTTACACTAGGTCTTCTGCATACACTCAGTCCCTTGAGCCATCTCAGCAGCCCTGGCTTCAGATCTTAACTCTTCCACTTGCCAACACATGGTTAGTCCAAAGGTACTTGATTAAGTAACCCTCTGTGTGCTTGCCTTTATGTTGACTAATTTTTTTTTTTAAAGTTTAGAGTTATGTGTCTGGCACATACTAAATAGTGCACTTTAAAATATGGTGGCACTTAAATGCTCTTTGACTGGTAGAGTTGGGCACCAGTGGAAGCCTCCATTCCTCCCTGCATGATGCTTTGTGCGCTGAGCTCTTTTGCTATGGAGCACCAAATCTTGTAGCCCGCAGGTCCCCCCTCTGGACATCAAGCTGAAGTAGAAATTTTGACCTGCTGTGGTTTGACTGGGTTTTTTCAGTTTGTGTTTTGGTGCCAAGGACCAACCTAGGTCTCGTGTATGCAAGGCACATATTGTTTTATTGTTGACCCATATACATAGCCCTGGATGTGGTGGTTTTTTGTTTGTTTATGTGCTTAGACTTAGGAAAAAGTTGTGAAAGTATTCTTGTTATTAGAGTTAAGGAGTTCAGCAGCACAGGGGCTGTTTACCTCCATCCTAATTTCCCATACCTGAAATATTTTACATTTGCTTTGTCATTTCTTTGTTCTCATTCCCTTTCTCTCACCAGCTTTGTTTCATCATACATACAACCCTATATCCCTAAATATGTTCATTTCATTCACTCAAAGAATTTCTTATATATACGTAACCCCAGTGTAATTCTCAAATGCAGAAAATTCCAATACAATACACAAAGATAGTATTCAAATTTTTTCAGTTCTAATGTCTTACAGCAAAAGAAAAGCTTGGCTCACACATTGCACTGTTATATCTTGTAGAGTTCATTTCTGTAATTTTGCATTTGCCTCACAGTTAGACCTGTTCCCTAAAATCGCGTGGCTATAGTAGAATTGAGGCTTTTTCTACTATAAATTTATTTTATCTCTCTTTGTAATTGATATCTTTGTGGAATTTATCAACTTTCAGCCTCTAGTTCCAGCACCCATTGGTGGTCCTTGCCTTAATCAGTTATTTCTGTGATGCTTATACATGATTTTATTCTGTAACATTTACTTAGGGAGAAAAATCCCCGTGCCCCATCATTAATATTGCCGTAGATTTTTATTGTGACTTGTAATCTGATGCTCCAACTATCCTAGAAGCAGTTGTTTATGACAAATCCTTTCTCCTTTGGTCTTTTTTTTTTTTCTTTTCACACGGCAGAGTCTGGCAAACTCCCCGTGGCGTACCCAATATGCCAAATACCAGTAACAATGATGGGTCTCATTGTCCTAAAGAGCCTTGAATATAATCTCAGGGCTAGGATGAAGGAGACGTTACTGGGGCCTGCTCGAGGCAATCGACGAATAACAGGATGATTTGTGATTTGTGATTTGGTCTTTTATTTCTTCATCTATTGAATTGGGAAAGTAGTGTGTTGTAAAGGCGACTGAATTGTACAGTTTCCTGAGTCTGCTCAGCCAGGGTGGGGTGATAGCAGTTTTGTCCTGAGCTGAGAAGCCCACTGTGTGAAGAGTTTTCCTGCTTTCCTCCTCTAGGTATCCAGGGCATTGTGGATGCCTATCGCCAAGCCTTGCCCCAAGTGCGCCTCTATGGCCCCACCAACTTTGCTCCTATCATCAATCACGTGGCCAGGTTTGCAACACAGGCTGCACATCAGAAGACAGCCTCGGTGAGGGCTGTGTGAGGGGGTGTCAGGGTGGCGTCAGGCATTGAACACGCGGGTAATGTGGGGCTCTGTGGCCACAGTGTCCAGAAGTCTATCTCACTGTATGTTTGGGTTTGCTCCCAGCAATATTTTGTGTTGTTGCTGTTGACGGATGGTGCTGTGACAGACGTGGAGGCCACCCGTGAGGCTGTGATCCGGGCCTCCCACCTGCCCATGTCCGTCATTATTGTGGGCGTTGGTGGGGCCGATTTCGAAGCCATGGAGCAGCTGGATGCTGATGGGGGACCCCTGCGTTCGCGCTCCGGAGAGGCAGCTGCCCGTGACATTGTGCAGTTTGTACCCTACCGCCGCTTTCAGAATGTGAGTGGGTGTGGGGCCAAGCACGGGGAAAGCCTAGGAAAGGACAGGTTTTCTTAGCAGCTCATCCCAGCACCTCTGCAGCTTCTTCTCGTTGGGGCTGGGGTTTCTGTAAGACCATGCAACCTCTTAGATTTTGGAATGTAGAATTTTGGAAATCATGATGGGCCACCCACTTTGCACCTCTTTTCTTGGCAGGCCCCTCGGGAGACATTGGCACAGACCGTGCTCGCAGAAGTACCCATGCAGTTGGTCTCCTACTTCAAGGCCCAAGGTTGGGCCCCAGTCAAGCCACTTTCCTCTACAGCCAAGGGACCTGCACAAGCCCCCCAGGCCTAGATTCCTTTGGAGGATGAAGCTGTGGTCACTCATTAACCCCATATCACCAAGGACCCTCTGGCCATAGCCCAAGCCTGCATATACTGCCCAGTGCTAGCACTTTATATTTTATACTTTTATACTTGCTTCTGCTTTGGATCACCCTTATTCAATAAAAGTCATTGAAGACCACTGCTTTGTCAACACTGTCTGGGGATGGGGAAGCTATTATTGGTCATATTTAGTTAGAGCCTTGGTTTGTTGAACTTTGAAGGGAATGCCTATTTATAATCCCACTCAAATTTATGTGTAGTTTCCGGCAAGATAACTAGATATGCTGACCACTGACCACTTTTGAAAATACAGAGATTGGAAAATTGAGTAAAAACCATACAGCCAAGCTTGTCCTACCCTAAGATAGAGCTTAGCTGGAAAACTGACAAGATACTAAATACTAGGGGAAGAGTGCGTTTTATGAGGACCATTCCCGGTTTGTTGTTTCAAGCCTGTTTTCTCTCTTGAACATGTATTTCTCATGTCTAGGGAAATTTCATTCAATAAGAACATTCTTGTACATAGCAATACAATGCTGATGCACAAAGCAATAGTACAGTGGGTGGGGCACTTGTTTTACATAGAGCTTACCAGGGTTTGATCACTGGCACCATATATGGTGCCCCCTAAACCCTTCCAGGAGAGATCCCTGAGCACAGAGCCAGAAGTAAGCCCCGAGTACTACTGGGTATGTTTGGTCATAGTCCCACCTCTCCACCCCACCCCACCCCCCAAAAAAAAATACTGGGGCCGAGGAGATAGTACAGAGCTAGAAGCTTGCCTTGATTGTAGCAGACCTGGTTTTGATCCCCAACACCCATGTGTTCCCCCCAAGCCCCACCAGGAGTGATTCAGTATGCAAAGCCAGGAGTAAGCTCTGAGCATCACTGGGTGGGGCCCCAAAACAAAGCTTTAGGGCCAGATGAGGGGGCTGTATGCATGGTTTGCATGCAGGAACTCCTGGTTTAATTCCCAATGAAACCCCAGCACAGTCAGGTATGACCAAAACAGAAAAGTAAAAGTGTTAATCCTAAGACTGGAAGATAGATAGCTCGAGAGGCAGAACACAGGCCTGGCATGTGCACCACCCTGAGTTTTGTTCTTTGGCAGCACATAGACCCCTGAGCACTGTTACATTCTTGAGAATTAGGTAATGTGTGTAAGGTCAAAGAACCATCTCTTGCACTTTATATACAGAAGCTGCTACTACTACAGAATATCGGTCTGAACTTGCTCTCCAACAAAAAAGGGTACATTAGGGAGTAGACCCCAACCATTTTCGTCCCATGGGCTACCCGTTCTCCCAACAGACGCCCTCAGTATCGAGCACAGATCTCTAGTCCAGTAGTAGCATGTTTAATGAAGGTCCCCAGTCTCCTCTGTGGTCTTCAGGCCATGGGCTCGGACTCGATATAAGCACGTGAAACGGGGATGGCCCCAGTTGCTTAGAATCTGGATCTTCACCTTAGGGAAGGCAGCTGGGGGGTCATTCTGAGGAGAGAAATTGTTCGTGCCAAAGTCTCTCTCCTTCTGGCAGCCTTCCTCTCCAAGTTGTCTTCACTTTCCCATTCCCTTAGCACCCTCATCCCAAAACACACCTGTAGGTGGAAAGTCTGAATCTCTGATTTCTCCACTTCAAAGGTGAACTTCCCCAAAAACACCTCAGTCTCATCATCTGCTTCAATACCCTGGGAGGAGGAGAGCAGCTGTGTGGAGGGACCTACTGTGTGCAAGGGCTGGAGCGATAGCACAATGGGTAGGGTGTTTGCCTTGCATGCGACTGACCCGGGTTCGATTCCTCCATCCCTCTTGGAGAGCCCGGCAAGCTACCGAGAGTGTCCCGCCCGCATGGCAGAGCCTGGCAAACTCCCCATGGCGTATTCGATATGCCAAAAACAGTAACAAGTCTCACAATGGAGACATTACTGGTGCCCGCTGGAGCAAAGTGATGAACAAGGGAGGACAGTGCTACAGTGCTACTGTGTGCAAATAGCTGTATGCACACCTGTGGTAGAATAGTGTGGAAAGGAATGATTAAAGCAAGTTTCAAGTTTAGTCTAGCCAGTTGGCAGCTGCATGCCTCTGAGCAAGTCACGTCCCCTTTCTGGATGTCCCTTTCCTCATGTATAGAAGAGCCTCAGTTGTATGGCTTCCAGGGGACGATGCTAGTGTATGCTTAGTAAGTCATCACTCAAGTCTGAATGCGATACAAGGATTTATAACCAGTGGCACTATCTCCATTCTGTAGCTGAACAAGTAAAGGCTCGGATACCCGCTTTTTGGACTGAGGGCCACCTTCACATACACACTCCTCCTGGACTTTAGTCTCACTTACGTAAACTGTAAAATCTCGGGGGGCGCTGTCGGCTCCACCGGTGTGTGCCACGCTGTGTGGTGGATGCTGTAGTGTGATGTCGCTCAGCTGCACGCGGCCTGGCAGCCGGATCACCACTTGACCCTGGTCACCCTCAAAAGCCCAGCAATTCCCAGGGAAAACATCCGGCTGCAGTGGACAGAGAAACTATTAGAATTGACTCTCAAGAAAATGATTCAAAGGTCCACTCAGTTGTAAACCAAGGGCTCCACTCCCTTGGTTTACAGGGATCTGATCTCTTGCCCACTCCAGGTCCCCACTCCGGCCTCCTCCACCTGATGCCCAGCCCCCAGCTTGACCAGGTCCCGCTCTGCCAGGAGCTGCTGGGGCCCCTCCCTGGAGCCCTGCTCCCACCCTGCTATTGAAATTCAGGTTCCAGGCTCACTTCCAGGATAACCGTCGGCGACCGTGCATAGTTCCAGAGGCTGAAGTGATTCCAGAAGTAACCAGTGTCTGTGTCCACATAGTCTTGGGATGTCTTCTCTAGGTCAATGGTGGCTCCTGTCACATGGAGAAGGGAATCTCAGGGTGCCCAGGCCGGCTCAGCGCTGGGGCAAGTCTGCCCATGTCAGGGTCTCCCCAAGTGAACCCTTCTCGGAGCCACTTCTCCTACCCACAGAGCTCAGAGCATAGTCAGGTTTCCGCACAAAATCTTCATGAAGCCTCTGGAACACCAGCTCAGCCACTCTCTGCAAAGGAGATGAGGGGCAGTGCTTGCAGGCCCAGCATCACTGGAGGTTGATCGAGGGTCCCTTGGGGACTAAGTTCTCTAGGAAGGGCTTTGAAGTTGGGAGGAGAAATCCTGATGTTGGGTTCTGGGGTGGAGCTTTAAGGTTCAGGATCCAAGGAGCGGGTTGTGGCTTTGGTGGGATAGGGCAGTGCCAAGAAGCCCCCGTGTGATGCAGAGTGGGCAGGCTCCCAGCACCTGGCTCATGGAGGTCCTGGGAGCCAGGTGATGGGAGCAGGACGGGGATGTGGGTTTCACCTCGCTGTTGGCTGCACGAACACTGGACACCTCCTTGTGAAGTTTATCCAGCTCGGCCTGGAGCTGCTCCAGCTGTTGTCCTTGGGACCGCACGCGCTCGTGGTACTGGCTACAGATGGGTGGTTGAGTGGGTTCAGACACTTCCAGTGTCCGCCCCTTCGAACCCACCAGTTCCCCACCCCAGGTGACCCCTGGCACCTTAGAGTCAGGATCTCCTTAGGTTCCTGTTGGTGGGAAGAGAAAGCAGCAATGTGCTGGTCCCTTGTCAGGCAGCACGGCCCTGGAGGGTTTCCCCCGCTCTTCCCAGGCTTTACTCCAGAATCCTTAAGCACCGCTGGGCCTCTCAGAAATGCCCCTTCCCATGGGATTCTAGCTTCCAGCACTGCCCCAGTCCCAGAAACCCACAGAACCCCCATAATCTGCCAGCACCCCGCCTCCAGGCCACAATATCCCCAACTCACATTCTCCAAGGGAGGGATCAGGTACAGGAGCCCGCACCAGATTACTGGAGAAAGAGGAATGTCTTAAGGCAATGGAGGGGCAGGGAGGAGAGAAGGGGCTTGCCTGAGTGATTTTACAGAAGGGGCTGGTGTCTGGGGGAGTAACTGAGGGACTAGAGAACCCTGGAAAGAGCTAAAGACCTGAGCTCTCGAGGAAATTGCAGGTTTGGCTCCAAAGCATTCAGGGTGAAAGGGCCCCAAGATTTTCATCACCTGCTCACCTGCCAGAAAGACGCCCAGCAGAGACACAACTGTGATCAGGAATCTGACCGAACTGACTTCCCTGAGGAGGGAGGAGGGTTGAGGCCTCAGGGACTCTGGCCCAGCAGCACCCTCGGATCCCAGCCCCAGCTCCTGTGACCCCGTCTCAACCAGCTTGCCCCGTGTCCTGTCCCCCCAACAAGCACCCCTGGGATTTCCCCTTTTCCCTCTGACCTGTATACATTGACCAGCATGTCTCCTATCAGGGAAAAAAAAATTCAGTGCCTGGAAGAGTGAGCCTGGGGAGAGGAGGGGGCTCAGGGAATGGGATGGGAGCTGCACACCCACGGGGCTCTGGGAAGAGAGGGGTTAACTAGAATTAGGTGAAGGCCAGGAGAATGGAGGTTCATCTTAAGGAAGGGCCAGAGACTCAGACAGGGTCCAGAGGCTCAGGGAACGGGTAGGGGAGACACCGGAGGAATCCGGCTAGCGTGGTCCATACTCAGCAAACTCTTGGATAGTTGTGGGGGAGTCATCTCCTGTATCTCAGGCATTGTCGAGAGAAGGTCAAAGTGTTCCTCAGAGACTACAGAAGACCCAGTGGGTTCTGCGGGAATCCAGGTGCTCACTGAGACCTTAAGCAATGTAGGCCCCCCTTCCCTCAGCATCCAACCTCAGCTATCCAGGGCCTCGGGTCCGGCACCCCCAAACCGGTCCTCTGAGTCTGCCAACCCGCCCGCCCCCGCTCAGGCATATCCAGTTTGGGCACAGAGCTCATGCCTACATGAAGGCCCTGCTCGCAGGGTCCAGTGCATTTTCCCAGTTGCCACGCTCAGTACCACCGAGACCGCCCCTCTTCTCTGGCGGCCAATCACAAGATTGGCCCCCGGCACTGCCCATCACACGGGCCCGCCCCACGCAATGACATTTGGCTCCGCCCTCTCCCTAGGGCCCCGCCCCGCTCCCCAGCAGACCGCGCCCCGTCCCAAGAGGGCCCCGCCCCTCTCCCCAAGGCCCCGCCCTCTCCCTGCTTGCCCCGCCCCCGCGGCCGCCCTTGGCGCAGTGAGCCCCGGTTCCGCGTCAGGCCCCGCCCCCCGCCGCTCCCCAGGCTCGACCCCGCCCGCACCCGAGGCCCCGCCCCTCACGGTTGCCGCGCCCCCGGCGGTCCCAGTGTGGCTCTGAGGCGCCAGCTTCTGCCGAGAGCTTCCAGCCCATGTGGTTCCTCCGGGCACTCCTGGGCTCAGGGCGGGCTCCCCGCAGCTCGAGCCCCGGGCTTTCCTGCCGTCGGGTTCCACAGGACCTGGTCCAGTGGACCGGGGCCCGCTGCTCTCCCCGGAGGTGGCGCTCATGGAGCTGTGGCTGTCGTCGCTGTAGAAGTTGGGCGTGTGTTTGTGCGGAGACGTGGCCGAGCCCGGGTGGGGGCTCCGCCGCATCCTGACCCTGGGTCGCACCCTTACGAACACCAGAGCCGCCGCCGCGACTCCCCAGGCCCTTGGCCCACCCTCCGCCAACGCGCGCCGCCGGGGCCCCCGGACCCAGCGTGCAGCCGGCGTGCCCCACGGCCAGACACAGCTTTTTCTGCTTGTATGTGGATCTGGCGGCTGACTTCATAGAGGACAGTGCAGGACGTCTGGACTGCATCACAGACCTAGCTGTGACGTCACTGGGAACCATGGCAGTAACTCATCCGAGGATAAGGCGAATGGTGGATAGAATACCCGGATGAAACTGCGCCCAGAATGTTCCTCTTCCTGCTTTTTGGGTCGCAGCCAGCAATGCTCAGGGTTTTACTCCTGGCTCTCAGTTCAGAGATCAAACCTGGTGGGACTCAGGAAATCGTATGGGATGCCAGGGATCAAACCCTGATCGGGCAGGTCCTTTGGGGGAGAGGGGCCTGCAGGGCAAACACCCTAATGCCCTACCTGCTGTGCTCTCGCTCTAGCTCCCTGCTTTGATTTTCATAGCACTTAGCACAGTGAGCAACCTATTTTACTGTTTTTTTTTTTGGCTTTTTGAGTCATACCCGGTGATGCACAGGGGTTACACCTGGCTCATGCACTCAGGAATTACTCCTGGTGGTGCTCAGGGGACCAGATGGGATGCTAGGAATTGAACCACGGTCTGCCGTGCACTAGGTAAACGCCCTACCCTCTGTGCTATCGCTCCAGCCCGTTTCAGTATTGCTGATAAAACCAGGAGCGCAGGGGGTTTGTTTGGTTTACTTCTGAATCCTCCTGCACATCGCTAGGCTTAGCAGACAGTAGCAGTGCTCAAATATTTGGATAAATGAATATTAAGGAGGACATCACCCAGAGCACTCCTATCTTCTTTTGTTTGGGGTCCAAACCTGGCAGTGTTCAGGTGTGTGCGAATCTGAACCAGAATCGGCCGTGTACAAGGCAAGCACATTACCCCAACCCCAAATCCCACTTCCCACACACTCAAGTCCCTTATTCTAACCCTGATACCATGCGGTCTCCCAAGAAGTGCCAGCTTGTGATCCAGTCCAGGGTAGAAGAGCCCCTGCTAGTTCCATGTGGCAGTACTTGGCTTGTCTCAAGGCTGCTGGCACCTCTAAATAAAGATGGAGCCTTTGGTTCTGCAAACTCTCAGCCTCCACCTTTCATCTCAGTGGGCAGAGGGAAATCTGACTCCCTGGGATCCTAGCCCCAGTGTCTGGGGGTGAGGCTTTAGTATCCCCCAGGCATATATTCATACTCAAACCCAACATGTGTGTCACTGAGAATTGAGTACGGAAGCACAGATGCGTTAAAGTACCGCACTGGCCCTCCGTCAACCTGGGTTGGATCCCCAACACCAGGCATCAGAATATAGAGTTTATTTAGAGATTTAGAGCCCCGGGTACCTCTTGAACCTTAGCATTTCTGGAGTTGGGATGTGCAGGTGTGACACAGTGATACGGATGTAGGTATCTGTTTGTAAAAGTTATGCAGTGCATCCTATGCACATGATGATCCAAGAGGTTGGGGGGGGGGGGGGGACTTTCTGGAGATTATGCAGCTCACCTAAGAGGTGAGAATTCCAAAAGCCTGCTCTGGAGCCCAGACTCCTGGCACCCTCTCCCATCTCCCCTGGGAATGTTTAGGAGGAATTTAGAGGGGCTGAGACCAAGGGAGGACTTGCAGCTTGACCCAGTCCAGGGCAGAGGAGCCCCTGGTAGTCCCAAGTGGCAATACTTGGCTTGATTAGATGACACAGAACCTGGAGGACAGGAAGATCAGTCTGAGGGTCGCTGGATGTGGGGTGCCCCACTCCTAAAGAACCAGACAGAGACCAGCAAGTACTATCACAACCCTTAGATTTCCCAGTCTGGGCGCACAGACACTCTGAGGGGGTAGGGATGGGAATATCACCACCTGGTCAAGAGAAAGGGGGCAACGGGCAGCAGAGGGGGACTGGCTACTGGCTACTACGTCGTCTTCCCGAGATCAATTTTCTTCTGGATGGCGCGAGCAGAGTGGTAGATGAGTGAGTCGATGAGTCCTGCCACTGGGGAGAGAGCAGGGCCTGGGGTCCTGACAGCTCAGGGGGTGCCCCCCCGACCGCAGCTCTGAGCAGCCGGCCTTGGGCTTCTTACCTGTGAACATGCCCCCGATGATGGCACACACGCCTGTCAGGAAGTGGGTGAAGGACCTGGCGGGGGGCAGGGGTGGTCAGCAGGCTCCCCGACTCCCCCGAGGCTCGCGCCCCTCACCGCCCTCTGTTCCCTCACCTGTGCTTCTCTGTCAGCTTCACCATCATGGGCGACAGCTCATAGAGCACAAAGACGCCAGGCAGCCCCTGGTCGCCCATCAGCCCGTTGGCAACTTTCTCATGTCTGGTCACGGAGAACTGGTTTGTCCTCAGCACCTGGAACAGCGGGAAGCTGGGCCAGGGCTCCCCTGCCCTCAGCCCTACCCTGGTCCTGCCGCCTGGTGGTTCCTGGGCCAGGGGGAAACACCACGACCCCCGGCTGGCAGGCGGGCAATCCCGAAACCCCGGGAACTCTGAATGCCCTTTCCTGCCCCACCACCCGGCTTTGCTCCCCTCCCATCCAGTGACCCATGTTCTCCCAGAGAGGGTCCAGAGAGAGAAGCAACCCTCCAAGGCCACAGCCAGCATGGTGCACCCTGCCCTCCTCGGCCCCTGGCCCCCACATTCTCCCAGGCTGCCGGCCCCAGCACCAACGTCACAGGGGCCCAGGCATGAGGAGTCTGGCCAGGGCTGAGTGACGCATGGACAGTGGGCACCGGGGCACTGGATGGATGGAGGGAGGCACAGGGGCCAGTCCACAGAGCCAGCACCCACAGTGTGTGGCGAGGGCCACACCTCCTGTCCCTGCCTGTCACCTGGGAGTCAGAGCAGTACCTCACCTCCTGGCTGGCAGGAGCTCGGTGCTCCCCCGAGGTCCCCCCCACTCACCTCCCCATCCACCTTCATGTACACCGTGGGCACCACCTTCACGAAGTATTGGAACATCATGGAGGCTGCGGGGAGAAGAACACGTGGCATGAGCACCGGGCGTGGGCACTGGCTTCAGAGCGCCCCCTTCCAGGCAGGTACCTTGGGGGGCGGTGACGTTGGTGCGGTCCAGGGGGTTCACGATGCCCGGGTAGTCCTCCCCGAATGACAGGTGACGGATGTAGTGGGTCATGTTGATCTGCAGGCAACGCCAGAGCTGCTGCCTCCGCACTCGAGGGCCCCCTGGGCCCCGCCGGGAAGGCCCCGCAGCCCAGCAGCACTCCTGCCCGCCCCCCCGCACCCCCCCACTATGACATGGAGCTCTCGTACAGGGCCCGCAGGCTCCCAAGTGAGGCTGTGTCCACACGGCAGGCACAGACCCACGCAAAATGCGGGGCAGGAGCAGCTTTATTTGGAGGACACAGCAGGGAGGCTGGGCTGGGGGCCCGCACCCCCCCCCCCCCCAGCTCCCACTCGGGGCCCGCTCCCTCTGCATTCAGCAGCCACCGGCAGGGTCTCTGAGGCCATGAACTAACCACCCACTACCCCGGCCTCCACAGGGGCACTTCTGTTTGTTCACTTAAAGGAGGCATGTTCCCCGGAGAGACACCCAGTTTTTGCTTTCTAGAAAGGGGGTAAGGTGGAGCCTCTGAGCTACCCCCACCCCCACGAATGTCCCATCGCAGACTGGCAGCAGCCCTGGGGCGCCCCCAACCTGGTACATACGTTGTCTAGGCCGAAGCTCTGCAAGTCGTGGACTAGGAGAGAAGGGGGGAGAGTCACAGGGGTTCGGAGTGACCCAGCGCCTCTCAGGCCCTCCTCCTCCCGCCGAGGGCCCCTCCCCGCCCCGGCTCCTTCTGGAACTCCTGTGCCCAGCCCTGCAGCAGGGCCCTGCTTGGACCTGTGGGGGAATATCGGCCCACCTAGGACCTATGGAGGAGTCCGGGCGCTCCTCAGGGGTCTAGGGGTCTGTACACCAGTCCCCCGCAGGCTCTGCTTACGCCTCAGGAAATAAGGAAATAAAACCCACCCCCAGTCTCATGAATGCCAGTGAGGGGGGACCTGAGAGGGGGTTCAGGTGCCACCCCAGACTCGTCCTCCGCCCTCACCTTAGAGGAAAAGCTATAGGCACATGGGACCATGTGTCCTCGAACCCTGATCCCTCCTGCTGCAAGGACCCCCACAGCCAGATCAGGGAAGGCCCCATTCCAGACCCACCCAAAGCTGCGCCCCCTCCGGGGGATGTCTAGACCTGTGTGGGGGGTGGGGGGTAAGGGGACCGAACCACTTACTTTCCACAGCATGAACTGCAGCATGGCAGGGGAGGAGAGGGGAGGGAGGGAGGAAGAGAGACAGATTCAGAGCAGCACAGAGAGAACCAAGAGACGAGGTGCAAGGACAGAGTGGAGCAGCCCTGCCTCTGCACAAGTCTGGACCACCATGTCCACAAGCGCCTTTCCCCGGAACCCACACAGATGCCTCAGCAGCGCCGGAAACGGAAGCTCAAAAGGATGAAGGCGCATCCTCGGGTCCAGCAGCTAGCAGGGAAGGCCTGGAAGCCAATGGGCTATCCGGCCCCTCTGCCTGTGCTTTTTGTCCCAAACATACTGCTGCCCTGCGGGACATCGCTGGGGCACAAGACCAAAGGGCACCGGGCAGGGGAACGGGCAGGGGGAACACAGTGGCTGGCCGGGGTCACTCACCATGCACATGGGACTGCTGGAAGCTCTTCCCAGGGGCAAAGTGGAAGTTGCCAGCAACCTGCAGGGACAGTTCCCCTCACTCTCCGG